GAATGCAACCCCTCTCAGGGTCGTGAGTTCGAGTCCCACACTGGATGTAGAAATTATTTGGGTAAAGAAAACTTAAAAAAAAAAAAAAAGACATACCTAATTTGATTTGATACCTAATAAACTGGTTGAAAAACATGTAATAAAGTTATTTGTTTTTACCTTTTCTACTGCAGGCACAAACTGCTTTGGAACATTTGCCCCAAATGTTTCATCTGAAAACTCCAACTTAGTGTAGTTCTCTGGGTCCAGAGGCTCCAGTACACCTATCACTTTTCCAAACTGGCCTGCACCACCCGATTGTTTTTTATGTGTAAATTCAAACCTGAAAGTGATTTAGGAGGGGGGAAAAAAATCAACACAGCATTATGTTAATTACCAAAATGAAATAATTCCTACTGATCTAAATGAAAAACCACATTTCACCATTTTCACTTTTTGAGTACTTTGCCATAAGATCTCATTGTGAAATTTATTTAAAAAGCAATTCTCTCTTTCCTGTTTTTACTTGGCGGCGAGGGTGAGGTTCGACACCAAAGTAATCTAGGGTTTTCTTTAATCCTGCCAATTCTTCACTTCACAGGTAGAAAAGCAAAAGGTTAGAAGTCGGTGTGAGGTTCTTGGTCTAGTAACCTACGTTCCCATGAGTCTATCCTCTTCTTGTGGAATCCCTCCCTTTCCCAGGTTCTCTTCTTAAATCCCTACAACTGAAGACAGTCCCTTGGAAATGGGAGCTCTGCAGTTAATTTATTGAGACGGTTCCTATCTGAGCCGACCACATGGACTTTACGGAGTGACGCAATACAAGGGAAGGGAGTTCTGGGGGGATTACCACCTAAATGGAGTAATGGCAAAATAGTGACTAACAAGTCAGTCATTCAGAGACATACAGGGACAGATCAGTGCTCACTTCAAAACACTAGTGGCAACAGAAATACAATAGTATGTTCATATACATATTAAACATTTGTGAACATACACTAGTTCACTGAAGAAAAAAATAGCAGGAGTATTTACTGTCTGCAGAGCATCTCTCCCTTTAAACAGAAACCTTCCTCAAGATAAGATGAGGGGCCCCTGAGTGGCTCAGTCGGTTGAGCATCTGCCTTCGGCTTGGGTCATGAGCCCGGAGTCCTGGGATGGAGCCCTGCCACTCAGGGGGCTCCCTGCCCAGTGCGGAATCTGCTTCTCCTTCTCCCTTTGCTACTCTCCCTGCTTGTGCTGTCAAATAAATAAATAAAATCTTAAAAAAAAAAAAAAAAGTAAAGACCTCAAGATGAAAGAGGCCAGCTGCTTTCAAAATTATCTCCGATAACTGCAGGCAAATGGACACTAATGAGTGTGCTCCTACATACAGATCTATGAGTGCTTTGGAATTACTGAATATTAGTTTTGGTAGGAGATGCCAGCTTGGAATACGTGGGTTTCATAAAAAGCCTAAGTGTGAATGCGCCTTTAAATAATCTCCCAGTTGCCAAGAGATTTGGGATGGGCTGAGAAAAACAAAATGCTGGAAGGTTAATTTTTCTGGGAGGGAAAACAACAGCTATCAGAACTAAGAGAACAAAAGCAGAAGGGAAAACAACTGCCAAAGCAGCACAGAATGACGGAAGGGATTCCACAACCGTGGTCCACTGACAAACTGTTGGGTATGCACAAGTTCTCAGAGACATCTAAAATTTTGTTTTCAATTTGACAATAACATAACATCTATACAAATATACCCTTGACCTGTGCTATCTATGGGGTAATCACTAACCAAGGATGTTTACATTTAAGCTAGAATTTTTAAGATATTTAAATTTAGGGATCCCTGGGTGGCTCAGCGGTTTGGCGCCTGCCTTTGGCTCGGGGCGCGATCCTGGAGACCCGGGATCGAGTCCCGTGTCGGGCTCCCTGCATGGAGCCTGCTTTTCCCTCTGCCTGGGTCTCTGCCTCTCTCTCTATCATGAATAAATAAATCTTCAAAAAAAAAAAGATATTTAAATTTAGTTCCTCAGTTGCACTAGTCATATTTTAAGTAGTCCACAGTCAATCGTGGGAAGTAGCTACGGTCCAGAGCGGCGCGTTGGGACATTTCCATCACTGCACAAAGGTCTACAGGACAGCAGCGCTCTCAAGGGCCAGTTCACAAACGAGTAAGTTTCAGGGGCCACGTCTGAAGCATAATCAAGTGGATGCCAAATAATGGAACACCGGGGTGCCAGGCTTGTGCTAAGCAGTTTTTATGGATTATTTGTTCTTCACCACAACCTATGATGTGTGCACTATTTCTAGCACCATTTTCAAGATGAGAAACCCGGGATCAGAGAAGCTACATAACTTGCCAAACATGATGTAGCGGCAGAGCCGGGATCTGCACTCAAACCAAGTCTCTTAATCAAACATTTTTCTAGAGGACAGAACACAAACTGATATAACCTGCAAATGAGGATTTCACTTAAACAGCTGTTAGAGGGACGGTATATGAAGACAAACTTTACAGTAACAGACAAGGGATAGAAGAACTGAGACATCACTCGGTAGGCAGCTCACAGGTGTGCTGGAGGTAGAAGAACCCATGCTCCAGTCATCAGGCCACTAGCATGTCACGAAAGGCAATTTTGTTTTGGCAAAACATCATCTCTCAGAAAAATATTAGTGTTAATTAGAACTGCGTTGATTTTATGTCTTTTGTAAATTTATTTTGATTTTACAGTTGTGAAGTTGCAAGCTGCAGACCTTTTTACTTAGTTTTATGCTCATGCAGTTACATAAAATTATAATAATTAACCTGATCCCAGAGACCTGTAATAATTTTGTTACTTTAAAGGAAACCCATAGGGATGCCTAGGTGGCTCAGTGGTTGAGCATCTGCCTTTGGCTCAGGGCGTGATCCTGGGATTGACTCCAGCATCAGGCTCCCAGTGGGGAGCCTGCTTCTCCCTCTGCCTCTCTCTATCTCTCATGAATACATAAATAAAATCTTAAAAAAAAGAAAAACAACTAAAAAACAAAGGTAACCTGTATATTATTCAAATTTGAAGATAAGAGCCTTGGACTAACCATTCATAAAGCTTTAGTACGTAAGATTTTAAGGACTCATGTATAGGAATGAGATTCTCTTAGTGCAGTTTATTAACATCTAGATAAACAGTTAAATGTTTTAATGTGGAAATTATACTTTGGGGGCATCTGGGTGGCTAAGTTGGTTTAAGCATCTACCTTCAGCTGAGGTCATGATCCCAGGATCCTGGGATGGAGTCCTGCATCTGGCTTGCAGCTTCTCGGTCCTCCTGTTCTTGCACGCTCACTCTCTCTCCCTCTCAAATAAATAAATTACGTTAAATCTTTAAATATATTATACTTTGAAAAGAATACAAACGTGTGCTTTTAGTAAATGCCTAATATGTTACCACATACTACCTAGCTTTGATCTATAGTATTCATAAAGCTTCAAGTGGTGACTTCATCTAGGAGGCTCACATAATATACTTCCAACCACTCCAACTGGAAATAACCAGGAGGTGTTAACTAGCTATTTGTGAAACTTAAATCTTCACTATCAGCAAAAAGCTCTGTCAGCATCATTGGAATGTACTCAGCCACTCTTTCCTGGACACTATCAAAAAGACCTAAGATTCAAACAATGCATATACACACACACAGACAACCTAGGAAGTTGGCTGATGAATGACTCATGCTCTCACTCTCAAAAAGAAAAACATTTTTTTTTTTTTTTTTAGAAAAAACTTTAAGAGAAGAAACTAACCTCATCCTCTACTTACTTGATGGTTGGCTAATGTAACTAGAAAGGACAGAAATGTCTTACTCCTTACATTTTTAAATAATATACTTACTCCAAATACTTTATTAGTAAATGAAAAAGGGCATTTGAGGAAAAGAACACATTACAAATACATTTTCATTCTTTTTTTTTAAATTTTTTTTAAATTTATTTATTTATTTTTTTTTTATTTACGATAGTCATACAGAGAGAGAGAGAGAGAGAGAGAGGCAGAGACACGGGCAGAGGGAGAAGCAGGCTCCATGCACCGGGAGCCCGACGTGGGATTCGATCCCGGGTCTCTCCAGGATCCCGCCCTGGGCCAAAGGCAGGTGCCAAACCGCTGCGCCACCCAGGGATCCCCCATTTTTATTCTTTAAAGCACCACAACAGGGCAGCCCGGGGGGGGGGGGGGCTCAGCGGTTCGGCGCCACCTTCAGCCCAGGCTGTGATCTGGAGACCCAGGATGGAGTCCCAGGTCGGGCTCCCTCCTGGCATGGAGCCTGCTCCCCCCTCTGCCTGGGTCTCTGCCTCCCTCTGTCTTTCATGCATAAATAAGATCCTAAAAAAAAAAAGTTTTAAAGCACCACAACACATATGCCAACCCAAAGAACTTTCAAAGAAACTTCCAAAATCCGTTTTGAGAAAAAAGTAAGGAATTTCTATATCCAAGATAGCAAGCTAAAGGGAAGGTCTGGCCATACAGGTAAAAGGGAGCCTTCGCTTCCGGATCCTCGGCAAATCCAAAGCCTACATCACGGTCCAGTCAAAGGCGGAACGAGAAGGTGATCGAGGAGGCTGGGGAGTGGAAGTGCGCGCCTGCAAGGGTCTGTGCGGCCTCGGCAGCTTTAAAAGGCCTGTTAGAGGTTGCTTCAACGTCCTGCGTTGAGTCCGGGTACGCCTTTTTTTCTTTTTAAAGATCTCATTTATTCCTGAGACCCAGAGAGGCGGGGACGCTGGGGGGGCGGCAGGCCCGGTGCGGGGAGCCGGGAGCGGGGAGCCGGGAGCCGGGGAGCCGGGGAGCGGGGAGCCGGGGCGCGCCCTGGGCCCGAGGCAGCCGCCCCGCCGCGCCGCGGAGCCCCCGGGGATCCCAGTAATTTTCAGAGTGATGCAGAAGGTCGGCAGCAGGTGTTGGAGCAGAACGTCCCTTCCCTACGAGCGGCGAGGGAGGGGTGCAGGGCGAGCTCCTCCCGAGCCAGCCCCCGCGGGTGCGCACACGGGGCGGGGCGGGCCACGGGGGAGAGGAGGAAGCGGAGGGTGACTCAGGCCCCAGCTCCTCTGCACTTCGCCCCTAGCCCCGCCCGCCTCGCAGTGTGGCCGGGGGAGGCCCGGAGCGTCCCCCCGTCCCCGCCCGCGGGTGAAGGGTGAAGGTGGGTGACGGCTTCGCCCCCCGCTCCTGCGGGAAAGACCCGGCTCCCGAGGGGGGGGGGACCAGCGGCGGGGGCAGGGGCGGCGCGGGAGGGGCGGGGACGGGGCGGGGCAGCCGGGAGGAGGAGGAGGAGGAGGAGGAGGGGAGGAGGAGGAGGAGGAGGAGGAGGAGGGGAGGAGGCCGCTCCGCCCCGCCCCTCCCCCCCCCCCCCCGGGGCCGGCTCCCTCCGTCCCGGCTCCCTCCGTCCCGGCTCCCTCCCAGCCGCCGCCGCCGCCGCCGCCGCCCCCGAGGATGGAGATCCCGCCGACCCACTTCCCAGCCGCGCGGGCGGCCTCGGTGGCCGAGAACTGCATCAACTACCAGCAGGGCACCCCCCACAAGGTGTTCCAGGTGCAGACGATCGCACAGGCCAGCGTGCAGGTGAGGCCCACGCCGGGGCCGGGCCGGGGCCGGGGCCGGGCGGTGCTCGCGTTGGGGGCGCGACGGCGGGGGCGGGGGCGGGCGCGGGGCTCCCCGGCGGCTCCCCCGGCGGCTCCCCCGCCTGAACCAGCCCCAGCGCCGCCCCCCGCCCCCCCCACAACTGCCTGCGTTTGAGGAAGCGCCTTTCCCGGCCCCTCGGAGACACGAAGGGGAGCAGGCGTCGGGCGTCGGGCCGGCCCCACTAGGCTGGTCTCCATTCCACTAAAATGTGAGACCGGAGACTGGCCCCGGGTGCCGGGGCGGGGGGGGGGGGTGCGTACCTCGACCCCACAGACCCTCCACCTGCCGTCACCCGCGGGGCAGGGGGGCACCCTCCGCCACCGCCTAAGGCGTGACCCCCGCACCCCCAGCAGGCACCCGCCGCCCCAACCACGCGAGGATCGCATCTTCCCAACAACACAAAGAGCCGAGTTATTTTTGTAATAACCCACCACATTTTCTTAATAGGATATTCCGGAAAAAGGACATAAGTATTGCCTTAAATTTTCTGTGGAAGAGATTATCCAAAAAGTAAGTGAAATGTCCTTTATTATGAAGTAAAATTTGACTCTATAAATATTTTACGTCACCTTTGCTGATCAGATCATAGGATCAACTTGCTTTCTGTTTTTGAAGTTATGAAATCCCTGCCTTGAAAAAAATGATGAGCATACAAGGGTCAGATTATACTCCTTCAAAAATGTCTTCTGAGGGATCCCTGGGTGGCTCCGCAGTTTGGCGCCTGCCTTGGACCCAGGCGTGATCCTGGAGACCAGGGATCAATTCCCCAGTCAGGCTCCCTGCATGGAGCCTGCTTCTCCCTCCTCCTGTGTCTCTGCCTCTCTCTATCATAAATAAATAAATAAATAAATCTTTAATATGTATATATATACACACACACATACATATATTCTGAGATACATGATGTAATTCTGTTGAGCTACTTAGAAAAGACACATTTCAGTTCAAATAAATTCCCTTAACAAATGTCATATATTAGGCCAGTCTGATATGAACAAATGACGTAATTTACTTTCCAGTCATTATCACTTTATGTCTGCCTTTCCAAGTTTCCTTCACTCAAAGAAAGCCAGTGCTTTTAGATGAAATATTTATGAGCAATAAAATGACCAAATGATACCACCATGTTCCTAAGAATCTTTCAGTAATGGGGCAGGGGAATTTTTAAAGACCCTACAATTTGTTTACCTAAATATCTTAAAATTAGAAAAATAAAAAGTTTGCCCCTTTGTTGAGCATAATTAAGGAGATACAGGCTGACATGAGGAGATTTATCAAGATACCTGGGCTGCTAGACAGCCATCTTTCAAGGCAGAGCCCATGCTACTATTTTCTAATTTTACATCTAGAGAGATTACTGTATCTGGGCTTGAGAATATTTCTGTTATTCAGAAGCAGAGAGTAAAGAGAGTAACGGACTTAAAAAGTAACCAAAGTCTAAAGGTAGTATGTGAAGTCAAGACTGAAATCTGGCCTTACAAATGGACACCCCATTAATACTAAAATAATAAAGTTTTAAGTTGAATTATAAGATTATGATACTCTATAAGTCATAAAAGAAGTTATCTATTTTAGATGCCTTCAAGAAAACTGTTAAGCCAACCTAATTAGCTATCTCTGTCAAGTGTGGAATACCATGGGGGCGGGGGCAACATTTTAAATGTCGTAACTCAAGAATGACAACTAGTGATGCATGGCCATCTGCATCTAAAGATATTTTGCAAAATGTTTCAAACAGCAAGTTACCCTGAACTGCACAGCTGAAGTCCTTTACCCTCTGACGGGACAAGATACCGCACCAGAAGTCAACTTCACATTTGAAGGAGAAATTGGAAAGAACCCAGATAAAGAAGATAACACATTTTACCAAAGACTCAAGTCCATGAAGGAACCACTTGAAGCACAAAATATTCCAGGTACGTAAATATGCCATGGAGACATTTTTCAACTTTCGCGTTTGCAAAATATTCACTAGGAGTCTAATTCAACACAGGAGGGCCTTGCAAATTTACAGATGCGTGGCTTAACCGAGTCCTATTCTGTGCACGTTTGAAGGAAACTCGAACAGGACTTGGAATTTAGATCCCACAAAGGTCTGATCCCTGTGTATGTAAAGGGCTTCCCCTTACCAGTGCCGTCCCCCTCACCAGACGGTCTCGGGAATGTGCCCCCGGAGATGGAGCCAGTCCGACACCTGGCCTGGGTCGCCTGCGGTTACGTTATATGGCGGAACTCGACGGAGGACACGTGGTACAAAATGGCAAAGATTCACACGGTCAAGCAAGTGGTAAGTGGCTTCTGCAGCCAGCAGCAGCAGGAGGCGTGCCGGGCTGAGCGCGCGGCCCCTCCGGGTGGACGGGTGCTGGCCGGGGCGGCGGTCCCAGCGGGGTCACGGACGCCGGGGCGGTCCGTTCCTGCGCTCAGCGTCCTAGAGACGAGGGCTCTGGCGATCGACCTTTCGGATTCAAATCCCTATAGCTCTGCAAACGAACCGCCTCCGCTTTCCCACTCCCGAAGTGGCAGCCCGGCTGCTCAGGGACGTGCCTGGCATTTTCCTGCCCCGAGGATCTGCCGCGACAAAAATCTTAGCCTCTTTTAATTCTTGCGACGCTTGCTGTTTATTTATCATGGGCTTTTATAACCAGTTTAGTCATTATCTGCAGCCTCAGACCTACCGCTGTCCTGGTGATAAGTCTGATAGGACCATTCAGAACGGGCTCTTTCTGGTCTTTAGAGAGATCAAGTCAGCCTCACATTTTAGCTTTATGAAGAGGTTAAAAAGAAAAAAAAAATAAGGGCAAGTGTTGATGCCTAAATGGATATCAAGAAAAACAGAGTGCCAGCCGTTAGAAACGACAAACACCCACCTTTTGCTTCAACGTGGATGGACCTGGAAGGTATTATGCCGAGTGAAGTAAGTCAATCGGAGAAGGACAAACAGTGTATGTTCTCATTCATTTGGGGAATATAAAAATTAGTGAAAGGAAATAAAGGGAAAGGAGAGAAGATGAGTGAAAGTATCAGTGAGGGTGACAAAACATGAGAGACTCCTAACTCTGGGAAACGAACAAGGGGTGACGGAAGGGGAGGAGGGCGGGGGGTGGGGGTGACTGGGTGACGGGCACTGAGGGGGGGGCACTTGGCGGGATGAGCACTGGGTGTTATGCTGTATGTTCGCAAATTAAACTCCAATTAAAAAATAATAATAAAAAAAGAAAAACAGAGTGCAGAGAAACCATAATAAACAGTTTTAGTTCTGTAAGAGAAAAGGACGTTCCAAATGACCCGTTTCAGCTTGTTGGAAACAAACTGCAAGGCAGCTGGAGCACCTGTGCTCCGCAGGCTTTCGCCACCACTTATTAGACACCCATGGGCCCTGGAGGGCAGGATACCCAATCACAACAGCAAGAATATAATGCCAATACCTAACATAAATACCACAAGAACATTTTAAGAGCCTTTTTTTTTTTTTTTTTTTAATTTTTAAGTAGGCTTTGTACCCAGCATTGAGCTAACACAGGGCTTGAACTCACGACCCTGAGATCAAGACCTAAGCTAGGATCAAGAGTCAGATGCTTAACCAACTGAGCCACCAAGGCATCCCAACTGAGGAGTTTTTTAATGCATTTCTATAGATATCAACTTTGGTTACAAATTCCTATTGGGATACTGAGGCCTCAAATAATTGAGTATCATGTCTGGGTTACAGAGGTTATACGATCATAATCATGGTTTTCAGGGCAGGATTTTGTAGCAAAATATGCTCAAGACAGTGCTAGAAGTTGTATGAAAGAAAACTCCTGTAACCCTTCATCAAAGTTTTAAAGCATGAATTAAAATTTCAGCTGAAAGGGATCCCTGGGTGGCGCAGCAGTTTGGCGCCTGCCTTTGGCCCAGGGCGCGATCCTGGAGACCCGGGATCGAATCCCACGTCGGGCTCCCGGTGCATGGAGCCTGCTTCTCCCTCTGCCTGTGTCTCTGCCTCTCTCTCTCTCTCTGTGTGTGACTATCATAAATAAATAAAAAATTAATAAAAAATTAAAAAAAAAAAATTTCAGCTGAAAGGTTGACTGCACATTTATAATCAGTAGTAACCAAAGGGGCCACAGGAGCTGCCCCTCAGACGCCAGGGCTTGTTTCAATACACTGATTATAAGCCTTAAAGAACCTTGGGTAAGTACAGCAAATCTCTGGTGAATACAGTTTTAAACGATCTGGATGCCGTATTTCTGTGTAGCTAATGGCATAAATACTTTATATGCACAAACCAATAAGCAGCACAGATCGAAGCTTTAATTGCAAAACCATATAACTACATTCATTACATTTTCCTATTTTCAGTTTTTAAAGAGAGAATTTCTATTATAAAATTGGTTTCCTTTAATGTAAACACTCATTTCAGTAGCTTATTCCTTAAAACGATGCTTTTCTGAATAATAGAAACATTGAGGAATCTTAAATGACAAACTTTAGATCGTAATGCTCTGAAGTAGCTACCACAACTCAGAACCTAAAAGGGGTATACAACTTTTAGAATAACAGATGAAATATGATTTTAAAATGTAGTTTGAGAGAAAACTTATTCATAAGAACACAGTTTTTCTTTTTTTCTTTCTTAGGAGATAGAGAATAGGCACAGGCATTGGGTAGGATGGGCAGAGGGAGGGAGGAAGAATCTCAAGCAGGCTCCACACCCAGTGTCGACCCAATGCAGGGCTCCATCTCATGACCCTGAGATCGTAACCTGAGCTGAAGCCAAGAGATGGACACCTAACCAGCTAGCCACCCAGGTGCCCCAAGAACACAGCTTTTCTGGTCAGGCTGATTAAAGTAGAACATTCAATTTTTATTTTTACTTATTAAATTGTTATCTATTATTATCTAGTAACAAAAGCTGAATTTTAAAATGAACATATCATTTTTGCCAAAGATACTAAGTTTTAAACACCAGGTTTTTATTTTTTATGACAGCAAAGAAATGATGACTTCATTGAGTTAGACTACACTGTTCTACTTCATGACATTGCATCTCAGGTAAAGTATCATTTGCCTTTATTTGATGAGACTTTGAAAACTAAGACTTGTTTTATAGCCACCGTGTATGTCTTATTAATTTTGACTCTAAACCAGAATCCATGTAAATTAATACGGACACTAGGTTCAAGTATATTATACTTGTAGCCATTTAGCTTCTTTTTTGCTGTTCTTTTTAAGGACTGTTTTGTCTCTAACAAAATCTAAACCTGACATTGTTTTCTTAAACTGTTTTCTGAATTTTACCACAGCTTTAGTTTCTTTTACTTGCAGGAGATTATTCCTTGGCAAATGCAAGTTCTCTGGCATCCGCAATATGGTACTAAAGTCAAACATAATACCCGCCTGCCAAAGGAAGCACAACCGGAATAAACGAAGACCCTATCAATGAAGTGTCAGCTTCCTTTTAATGATGTGTATGCCAGTCTTCACTGATACCTACATGGTGCCATGCAAATCCCAAAGTGTAACTTGGTATAAATGTCTTCGTTACACTATGGAACCATATAGATTCCACACAGTAGAGAGTATCCTGATGTAAAAGTGTCCCAACGCTAATAGTGGTATGTATATCCCATAATAAAAAGCTTCAATTACAGCCTCACAGCATGTTTAATTGTGTTGCATACTTACGGGACAGGGGCAGTAATGGTCTCTCTGAAGGCGACTTTCGGCTTTCCTGTGACACAAGGACAGCCATATTCTCTTTCCATCCTCTAAAAAGAACAGAGGGGAGTTAATTTTTTCATCTGCTTAAAAAAATAAACTGAAAGAAGAAAAATCCTAAGACTCTTAACTGCCTCTGAAGTACTCATTTAAATATGATTAAAATGGGATCCCTGGGTGGCGCAGCGGTTTGGCGCCTGCCTTTGGCCCAGGGCGCGATCCTGGAGACCCGGGATCGAATCCCACATCGGGTTCCCGGTGCATGGAGCCTGCTTCTCCCTCTGCCTGTGTCTCTGCCTCTCTCTCTCTCTGTGACTATCATAAGTAAATAAAAATTTAAAAAAAAAAAAAATAAATAAATAAATAAATAAATATGATTAAAATGATAAATCTCAAATCACTTAGGTATCTTAGAAAGGTTAGAAACATCAATACAAACTTTTAAAGATTTTATGATCAGTTCTAACTTAGACTGTTTAACAGACACTTGCCTCTAGTTAATTCAATCACCAATACTTCACCTTTGTTGCATATTATTACATATTCTCTGGAATAGCGTTATGTCAGTTTTCTACTATCAAATTAAAAAATATCACGAGAATTTTTTATCATTTGTCAAATAGCTTTTGTTTTCATTCATAGATACAGAAGACCTTTCCTAGCAAAAGTACAGCCTATCTACTCTTCCTGTATCTATATTCTAATAATCTTCAAGTACTGACTTGAGAAGAAAATAGGCAAGAAATGGCCTCAAGACTGGGTACTTCCAGGCCAACTTCCTCAGCAGGTCTCTCCCTGCAGACTGTCTCCCTAAGGCTGGGACCAGGATTCGCTTGACCTAGGGGTGGATGGATGATCTTATTGCAAATAACTTGATTTGGAGTCGTGATTCTAGGAGTCTGCAAATGTTTTACAAATAAAAGGATTCAGAAATCAAAAATAATTAATTTGTAAGAGATAGTAACATTTGTAACGTAACTGGATGCAAACCAGAATGAAGTCTGAAGAATCACTATTAATAGTTCGCAGTCATTAGACTAAGAATCATTGACTTGTCACAAAACACAGACATATATAAAATGAATTTAAGTTAACTTCCTTGTGACTCATTACCTGAGCATAGATTTCTAGGTGTAATTCTCCCATTCCAGATACAATGGTCTCTTTGCTCTCATTGTCGAAGTGGACTTTAAATGTGGGATCTTCTCTTGTAAACCTGCCAATACCTTTTGAAAATTTTTCCAGATCATTCTTTAAAAAAAGAAAGTCATTACACATTTTACTAAGCGTAATAGGCAATAGGATGATTGAAAGAACTTTACTAAATGACATCAAATACAGGAACAGTTAGGAAATAGCAGTGACCCCTACCCAGTTCCTAGGCCAGACCCTCTCAATACGGGAGCTTGGACACCATACAGTCAAGAGGGCTGACAGGATTTTCTTTCCGTAACAAGATAAAAACAAGAGTCCGAGACTCCACTCTGCCCTTTCCTGTTATATCCTTAGGTGTACAGAAACGTCCATCTGTGGAAAACTGTCCGTGAAGGAGAGAGAAGAATTGTGTTACTCTGCTACATTCTAGAAATGGTATACATAATCAAAGGAAGCAGCGTGTTTACCAAGACCTGATTGTAGCTCCAAGCAGGCCACGGAAGACCAAAAGGAAGGCAAATGACACAGAGACTTCTCCTGTTCAAAACAACCTGCCTGGAGGCACCTTTACGCTTCTTAGATAGAATTCCATTCCTGGTAGGTAGAAGTATGGTCCCCTGAGGATGTGCCCTAATCCCCCCAGACTCGGGACTGCTACTTTATGTGGTGACAGGGACTGCGCAAAGATGATTAAAGTTCTAACTTTGAGATGGGAAGATTACCATGAAGAACTGGGCTGGCCCAATGTAATCACACGAGCCTTTAAAAAGGAAGAGGAATACAGAAGGAGAGCTCGAATGAGGAAGGAGAGGCAGAGGATACTTGAAGCACATAAGGGACTGAGTTCATGGCTGAAGATGGGATGGGGCCATGAGCCTGGGAAAACGGGTAGCCTCTAGAAGCTAAAAAACAAAAACAAAAACAAAAAAAAACAAAAAAAACAAAAACAGGCCCCAGGTGACAGTCACCAAAGAAATGGGGACCCCAGTCCTAACAGCCACCAGGAGCTGAATTTTGCCAATAATCTGAGTAAGCAAAAGATAAAAGGTCCCCTTGAGCCTCCAGAAAGAACACAGCCCTGTCAGTATCTTGATTTTAGTCAATTAAGAACTATGTCAGAGGGATCCCTGGGTGGCGCAGCGGTTTAGCGCCTGCCTTTGGCCCAGGGCGTGATCCTGGAGACCCGGGATTGAGTCCCACGTCGGGCTCCCGGTGCAAGGAGCCTGCTTCTCCCTCTGCCTGTGTCTCTGCCTCTCTCTCTGGGACTATCATAAATAAATTAAAAAAAAAAAAAAAAACAAAACTATGTCAGATTTCTAACACCATAAAATAAATACATTTGTGCTATCTTAAGCCACCAAGCTTGTGGTACGCTATGGCAGCAACAGGAGACATACCCTGAATCACCAGTACTTAACAGCTATCACATGTGCATGGAACTGTGCTGTAGGTTTTGAATATGTACTTCAAATTCTAACCACAATGCTGCAAGACACAATTACCCACATTTCACAGGTGAGGAAACTAGATGTAGAAAGGCTGAGTGACTTGTTCAAGGCCACAGAGCCAGTGCATGGCAAAGCTGGCACCGAATCCTGGGTTAGTCTCTCTGAAGTCTTTTGCCTTTTCCCTACACTAGCCAGGTACTCTCAACTAGAAGATCATCCTTGCCCCCATTACCAGGATTCACAGCTTGATGCAGTGAGTGACTTCATTATATATATTTTTAAAGATTTAACGAGAGACAAGAGAGAGAAAGAGACAGAGACCCAGGCAGAGGGAGAAGCGGGCTCCCTGCCCATAGGAGCCCGATGCGGGACTCGATGCCGCATCCCGGGATCACGACCTGAGCCGAAAGCAGCCGCCCAACCGCTGAGACACCTAGGTATCCCATGACCTTATTATTTGATTTAAATTAATTTACTCCAGCAAGCAGACAACCTTGAGATACCAAATAACCTTTTAGATATTGATGCCTTTGATTTCCCTTCATTGTTGTGAACTATCAACAGTTAAATATCTTACATATACTCTGAATTGGGAATGAAGAAGCATAAATCACTCCCTGATTATTCAGGGAAAAGAGAAAAGCAAGCAAGTTAGCAAAACACCTGGAACTGTGGCATTTCGCTGTGTAGTAAGATGCAAGGTTTGCCTTCAAATTTCTTCCTCCCTCAACATTCTTTTTTCAACACTGAGAAGAGTACGGAAAAGCTCATTTCCTCAAAACAGAGGAAGAAGCACCTGTTACTGTATTCATTCACAAGACAATACATCAGAGTATGTTCAGTAAACAATAGTTCCCAGATAAGAGGTCATAACATGTTCACTCAATGCACGAATGAATTCATTGCAACTTACCATATTAACATGACTGTTATGAATGTCAAAGCAACTTAAGAACTCAAACGATTACCGCAGCAACGTGAATTATTCCAACAGCAGGACCAATTCCAGTGGCAGTAATGCCAGTGAGACCCTATTCAAGCAATTCTGCTTTCATAAAAAGCTAAATGACATCAAATCCAACCATAATACCATTATATTTGAAACTGAGAAAGGGGTGCCTGGGTGGCTCGGTTGGTTAAGTGACCAATTCTTGATCTCAGCTCAGGTCTTGATCTCAGGGTCCTGAGTTCAAGCCCATTAGGCTCCACTTGGGTGTGGGGCCTACTTTAAAAAAAAAAAAAAAAAGAGGGATCCCTGGGTGGCGCAGCGGTTTGGCGCTTGCCTTTGGCCCAGGGCGTGATCCTGGAGACCCAGGATCGAATCCCACATCGGGCTCCCGGTGCATGGAGCCTGCTTCTCCCTCTGCCTGTGTCTCTGCCTCTCTCTTTCTCTATCTATCATAAATAAATAAAAATTAAAAAAAAAAAAAAAAAAAAAAAAGGGATGGGGCACCTGGGTGGCTCAGTTGGTTAAGCATCTACCTTCGGCTCGGGTTATGATCCCAAGGTCCTGGGATTCAGCCTCACATCAAGCTCCCTGCTCAGCAGAGAGTCTGCTTCTGCCTTGGCCCCTTCCCCTTCCTCTCGCTCTAAGTAAAATATTTAAAAAGAGAAAAAGTCCCGTTTGCAGGTTTTCTATGTTATAACCATACACTTCCTAACTACCACATATCCAGAGATGTATTATCATTCATGAGGCAATTAATCTATGTAGTTATTTAATATACTTCAGTAAGGTTTTACTACAACTTAGGACAAACTTTCCTTTTTCCCCCTTTCCATTCCTTTATGATCTGAATATAGGAAAATATTCTTACCTCTTTGGAGCCAATGATACTGTAAAGAGTTAGCACAGTATTGTGCCTATTTTAAAACCATCAAAATTTTCAGTATAGTGAGAACTAATTACTACCAACAGACATGTTTTAGAAGCTGATCTCAATACCAAGAAACCATAAGATTACTGGTTATCACAAGGTAATTATGTGTATTGTGGAGAAAGATGGAAAAGAGCTCAAGTTTTTATTGCGCTCTACTGAGAATGAAACCAAACTCCTACCTTGTTAGAAGGCTTCATTGCTATTGAAATGACAGGGTCAGGAACATGAATTGACTCCTAAAATATTTTTTAAAAGAACAGAAAAGAATTCTAATACAGTACTGTTTGGGTCAGAGATGGATTAATTTAATGTGCTACTTACAAAAGAACAAAGGACAAATATTCGTCAACATTTTTAGGCTAGCCAATATATATCATGCTCTGCTTTGTATTAAATATATTAATATGACACATTAATAAGTGCATACACTTACATGATCTCTTCCCTCCCAAAAT